TTCCTCCCTCCTCTCCACGTCCTCCTCCTCTCCTCTCCTCTCCTCTCCTCTCCTCTCCTCTCCTCTCCTCTCCTCTCCTCTCCTCTCCTCTCCTCTCCTCTCCTCTCCTCTCCTCTCCTCTCCTCTCCTCTCCTCTCCTCTTTTCTCTCCTCTCCTCTCCTCTCCTCTCCTCTGATATCGTTTTCTCTTCTCTGCTGCCAGGCATCACCTGATATCCTTTGTTTCCAGGTGCGCGGTTTCTGTTTACAGGGTGGACGACTGAGAGGGAGGAGGGGGAGGATGAAGCTTGGTCTCATTCTTTTCTTCCTCCTCTCGGTCCTTCCTAGCACAAGCAGTGAAGCACGGGCAACAAACAGCAGAAGCATCGAAAGTTTGGCAGCAGGCAGTGAGATTCACCTTGCTGCCCTCAAGAACGACGTCAAGGCAAGGATATCCTCTACCTCTGCCCTGTTTTGCTTGCCGCCCCTCTCTTCTATGCCCGTTCTCAGCTGAAAGCCTCCACGTCATCAGAAGCTTGAGGAGCTGATCGCACAAGGGAAGGACGTAAACGCTCGCATTCGATCCACCGACACCCCCCTGCTGCTCGCTGTCTCCCGTGACAACCTCGCTTGCGGTAACCTTGACTGTGCTCATGATGATGCAAGAGAAGGAGGGGAGATGGGGACGTGACTTGTTGGCTTAGTCGATCTTGTTGGCTTAGTCGATCTTGTTGGCTTAGTCGATCTTGTTGGCTTAGTCGATCTTGTTGGCTTAGTCGATCTTGTTGGCTTAGTCGATCTTGTTGGCTTAGTCGATCTTGTTGGCTTAGTCGATCTTGTTGGCTTAGTCGATCTTGTTGGTTTAGTCGATCTTGTTGGCTTAGTCGATCTTGTTGGCTTAGTCGATCTTGTTGGTTTAGTCGATCTTGTTGGCTTAGTCGATCTTGTTGGCTTAGTCGATCTTGTTGGCTTAGTCGATCTTGTTGGCTTAGTCGATCTTGTTGGCTTAGTCGATCTTGTTGGCTTAGTCGATCTTGTTGGTTTAGTCGATCTTGTTGGCTTAGTCGATCTTGTTGGCTTAGTCGATCTTGTTGGCTTAGTCGATCTTGTTGGCTTAGTCGATCTTGTTGGCTTAGTCGATCTTGTTGGTTTATAGTTGAACTGTTGCTACGACTCGCGAAGCAGAACATCGACGTAAACGTGCAAGACAAGCATGGGACGAGTGCGCTGCATCTTGCTGCGACGAGGCGACAAGAAAAGATCGTCAAACTTCTTCTGGCAGCGTCAGCCGAGGTGAACATCCAGGACAAAGACAACAAGACGCCTCTGTAAGTTTCTTTCTCCTCCTCTTTCTTTCCTCTCTCTCTCCCCCCTCCTCTCCACGTAACAAATTTCATTCCCAGGCATCACGCCATCTACACCAGTGAGATTGTCGAGCGTGCCTTTGGAAACAACCAGCGCAATGTCGTCAACCTCCTTCTCCTCCATGGAGCCAACCCAAACGTGCGTGACATCCAGGGCTCTACTCCTATACTCTATGCCGCGTCTGCTGGAAGTGTAGCTGACACTATCATCTTGCTAAAGGTCGTCCTCCTCCTCCTCCTCCTGTCTCTTCTCCTCTTCCTGCTTTTGCTCCTGCTCTTGTTTCTCCTCCCCGTTGCTGCTCACTACTCCCTCTTTCATTCCCCCATTGCCGTTTCCTAAACCTACTCTTCGTCCTCCCCCTCCAACCCCCTTTCTTTTTCTGACGGACTTGACTGACATGCTTGCAGTTTGGGTCGGATGTGAACGCCAAGAACTTTCGGGGCCTGACAGCTCTGCACATGGCGGCAGCGTACGGACATCTTGCAGTCGTCGAGATCTTGTGAGGAGAGGGAGGGGCGAGGCTAAAAACAAGACACGAGGACGAGGACGAGGATAATAATGAAAAATAGAAAAGAAGAAGATGGAGATATGATGGATGATGGAGATGATGATTGCAACGACGATACTCAGTAACTATCTTGTCTCGATTTAAATCTTGTCTTTTGCCAGACTTGACCACAAGGCTGACCCTCGACCGATGGACACGTATGGCAGGTGAAATGTTGCAGGAGATTCTCGGCCTTGACGCTACGGAACAGGACGGCATCGTCCATGGCAATCGAGGAGAAGCACTCTAGTATCGGTCCACTGCTCCTCCTCTTCGTTCCACCTTCCCCTCCCTCCCTCCGTTCTTCTCCCTCCCTCCTCCTTGCACCGTCCTCCTTCTATTTCTCTCTTGCCTCCCTTCTCCTCTCACCCTCCCTCCTCCTCTCAACCTGCTTGCTTTCACTCTGTTCGCTGCTCATGCTCGAGCAAGCTGACATCTGCTTGCAGGGAGGATCCTGCTAGAGGAAGAGAGGAGAATGGAGTCCTTTGAGGCTCAACTGGAGGAGGAGGAGGACGAGACAGAAGTCAAGTGGCGATACAATGGAAAGGAGAGCCCGGTGAGAACAAACTAATAGAGTGAGTGCGATGTAAGAACAGAGCAGATATTGGATGATGTCAATCGTTTCTTCCAATCGTTCTTTCGGTTTATTCAATTCTTTTGCTTTTCCATTTCATCTGACTTACTTCCAGAGTTTCTCGCAAAACGTGGGCAACTGATCAGAGGGTTCTGGTTCTTTCCTTGTTTATCATCCCCGTCCTTCCGCTTCTATGTGAGTATTGGTTTTTGATCCTCCTCCTCCTCCTCCCCCTCTATCTCGCCCAACCCCCCCCACCTCTCCCCTCCTCTTCTTGCCTCTCCTTTCTACACTAAACTCATCCTGGTCCACATAGGGATCGCAATCTCCAGCTCCTTGGGGAGGAGGAAGAAACAAGCTTGATGCCTCAACGTGATCACGCCTGACTCGGGACGGCTCGGCGGGAGAACTCCACCCCGCTCTTCTTCCCGGGTCTGCCGCTGACGACCTGCATGGAGGTTAGGAGAGGAGAGGGGAAGAGGAGCAGCAGACGTCAATGTCGAAGGAAGGCCGCATGACCTCGAGCGAGCAGCGAGCAACTTCGATGGACTTTTTCATCATCTTGTCAAAATATGCATCGTCCGCATCCATCTCACTCGACGCCCTCCTGTTTTGCGTCAGTGACCCTTCCTCCTCCCCCTCAACGCCTCCTCTACCCGGATCGAGTCATCTCCAGGGACTTTCTTTCCATCGAGCCGCGAAAGCCTCTCACGACCTCCAAGGATCGCCTGCAGCAGAGTGAGGAGGAAGAGACGCAGCTCGACGCTCTCACCTTCCTCCCTCCATCTCGATCGAGTTTCGCGGCCTCACCACCTCGAGGGATCGTCTGCCTCCCTGGTCCATCGATCCTCGTCCTCTCTCCGTTTCCCGCGACCTCGAGCTCAGGTCCGATGGCGCCCCACTGACTTCACTGCGAAGTGCGAGGGCCTTCTTTCCGATCACTGAACTTTCCTGCGATCTCCTCCCGACCTGCAGCAGAGTGAGGGCAGCAGACAAAGACAGATTCTCCTGCACCTCCAGCGAGTAACGCGCATCCATAGACGCTCGAGGCTCGTCGAACTTGATCTCGTCGACAAAGAGTTGGTCTAGCAGCAGCGTCACAGCCCTGCTCCTCTCCTCCCGATCTCTCACCGGACGCGCTGGTTTCCTCCGCCACCTGCTTTCTCAACACTCGTTCGCGGAGAAGAAGCTCCAGCGCCTTGCTACGCACAAGCATTTCCTCGATGTCCTCCATCGTCATCACCCGCTGCAGCAAAAGACTGATGAGTGATGTGCTGCAAGATGGGGAGAAGCAGAGGGCAGGAGCAAGCCCCGGGAGAGGAAAGCAGGAGCAAGCCCAGGGAGAGGAGGGGGGGAGCAAGCCCAGGGAGAGGAGGGGAGGAGCAAGCCTAGGGAGAGGAGGGGAGGAGCAAACCAAGGGGGAGGAGGGGAGGAGCAAGCCTAGGGGGAGGAAAGCAGGAGCAAGCCCAGGGAGAGGAAAGCAGGAGCAAGCCCAGGGAGAGGAAAGCAGGAGCAAGCCCAGGGAGAGGAGGGGGGGAGCAAACCAAGGGGGAGGAGGGGAGGAGCATGCCTAGGAGAGGAGGGGAGGAGCAAGCCCAGGGAGAGGAAAGCAGGAGCAAGCCCAGGGGGAGGAGGGGAGGAGGAGCATTCACCGTGTGATCATCTTCCATGTGCTTGGAGAGAGGGATGGGGCGAGAGCCGTCGAAGATGGGAGTCAAACCATCATAGACGACCTTGTAGACCTAAGTGAAACCCTTTCAGTCCCTCCAGCACAAGTCCAGCAGCCCAGACCTCAATCATGTCGGGGCTGACCAGCTCGCCTTTCACAGGGCAGTAGTTGTCAAAAGTTCCCCTAAAAATCCACCCGTCCGCCCACGTGTATGTCCCCTCCCCATGGAACGAGTCTTCCTTCCACTCTCCGAAGTACTTCCTTCCATCCGGCCAGGTCTCCGTGCCGGTCCCGTGCCTCTCATCGTCTCTCCACTGCCCTTCGTACTTCTGCCCCGATCGCCATTCGTAACTCCCTCGTCCCGATCTGATCCCGTTCTTCAGGTCCCCTGAGTAATTGCCAGTAGGAACTCGATTCGCTCGCCGCTCTGTAAGGCGTCAGCCGAACCCACAGGAAGAGGGAGGGGAAAAGATGTGGCGATGAGGACAGGAAGGGAAGGAGAACAGGAGGAAATGGTGAGTTTGGGGCGAACCTTTTTCCTGCTGCAGCCTCAGACGCGCGGTGATGGAGGTGCCTGTTATACCCAAACTCTTCTTTCCTCCAGGAATGAAACTTATCGGATCATCATAGGACTGAGCCGCGGTCATCAACGAGCCTTGGTCATATCGTATCACTTCCATGTTGCTTTAACTTGTTACTTTTAACTTGAGAAATGGCCTTTGTTGTTCGGTATCTACTTGAATTTCTTCAGAGCTGTTTCAGGAGCTATCAAGATTTTGTTGCTTGCTCGCTTCGCTTGTGTTCTCCTCTGCAATGCTCTATGCCCTCGTCTCCTCGTTGCTTCTGATTAGTTTGGTCGCAGTAGTGGGGAGGGGTCTTCTGTACCCCACCCCTTCCCTTACTGAATAAGCAACCCCACCCTTCAAATGGTGTACCCTCCCTTCACCCACTTTGAAACTCTAAAAAGTACCCCACTTTTACAAAATCAAAAAGGAAGCGACCGGTGCAAGTACGACTGAAGATAGAGGACCCGTACTTTCCGTACCCCTACCTATCCTCTGATGGTCGTCATTTGTACCAGCAAATTTGGGTACGTACCATGATAGGACATCCTAGGGAATGGCCTCCGTAGGCTGTGCTAGCGCTGGTCATTGAAGTCCTAGGAAGGCCTTAGGAATATTGAATAGGGATAGGTCAGCATAGGGGTACGCCGGGACATGAAGAAAGAGGAGAAGACACGAAAAGACTCCAATTCGCGACCACGTCATCTAGTTGAACTGAGTCCCAACGGCGTGGCCGGCGCGGCCGGGCGGCCCCGACCTGCCAGCCGGGCCCGGGCCTGGGCCCCGGGCCGGGCCGCCGGGCGGCCACCTGCCGCCGGGTCAGGCTACCGTGACGGTACTACCCCGGCGTGGTAACGTACTGCTACGGTGCGGGCCCCCGTACGGTGAGTCCGATCCGGGCCATCATCTGAGTCCGTCACCGCCGAGTCGATCATCCGGTGACGCACGGTGATCGGACGGTGCCTGGATCAAGTTGGTGACTCCAATACCGTAGTACCGTGCGGGCCCGCCGGGCCCGGCCCCCAGTGAGCCTCGGAATCGCGGGGCCCGATGATGATGTGCCCGGCTGGACCGCCGCCACGGGGTGACTGCTCCGAGTCGTCCGGCCGGGCCGCCGCCGCGCGGCCCGCCGGGATCACGACGGTGCCCGGGACTTCATGATGCAATCTGTGAGACTCTCAATACTACCTAGCCTACACCGTGTCGGAGGCCGGGCTGTCTGTGGCGCCGGGCGGCCGGTACCGTCCGGCCCGGGGGCCGGTCCGATCACAGGCCGGGGCCGGGCGGCCGGGCCGGTCCGATCAGAGTCAGTCACCCCGGGCCCGGCCGGGCGGCAGCCGCGACTCAGCCGGGCTGCGGATGCCCACCCGCCGCCGGGCCCACTGCCCGCCGGGCCGCCGCGGCCGGCCAGCGTCGGAGTCGGAGAAACTTCCGAAACTTGCTGCCGCCGCTTGAAGTTCCCGGCGGGCCGGCGGGCCGGGGGAGTCCGATCTGTGCGGCGGCGGCCCGGTGGGTGAGCCTGACTCTGTCCGTCGAAGTCCGTCAGTGATGCCGCAGTGCAGTGCTGACTGGCAGAGTGCTGCGGCTTGCGGCGGCTGGGCTGCGGCGGGCCCGGCCCAAAAGTTCCGAGTCAACACCGACTACCCGTGGTCTTCTACCCCCTTTAGACTTCGTAAGAGGGTAGGGTAGTTAGATCATTTGAAACTCGCTGACCCGACATTCCACACCCCTCCAGTCCTACAGCAACTGAGAGGTGGTCGGTAACCCTTTCACTTGGATTCCAAATTCATGTATGGTCAAGTAGAGAGAAATTGTAATTGACAAACCAAGTAAAATACCTATTCCTTCTACCTTCACCAACTTCGAACCCCCATCAGAACCCCCCTGCATCAACAGTACCCCTCCACACAACTCCTCGTACCCCCACCCCTTGCGTTGTCGGAGGGCCATGAAATGATCACAAGGCATTCAGAAATGGAGGGCAGGAGGGAAGAGGAGGAGAAGGTTGAAAGAAGATGCAGAGGAGAAGGCTGATGAGGATGAGAGAAGCCTGATGAGGAGGGAAGCATCAAGATGAAGGAGCGAACTAAGGACAAGCATAGAAGGATGATATTCACAGTTTGGCTGAAGAACTCTGAACGACTTTCTCCATGTGAAATGATGGGGAAGCGAAAGAGGGAGGGAAGCGGGGAGGGAGGGATGTAAGTTAGTAGGTAGATAAATGAAAGGATTGTATGTGATCAACAGTAAGAGGGATTGGGAGGTTAAAGTTCCTTCCTCAACTCGTTCCTTTCCGTGATCTCTGTTTCTCCAGGTCTGCTCGAGCTCGGTCGGCGATGAAAATGAGAGTCGCACTTGGAGATCGTTGAGAGAATCCACCAGACAGTGTATTGCAAGAAGCAGGGAATGAGCACGCGATCGCTCGGTCTCTATGGAGCTGAGGGGGATCAACGTGGGGGCACGGGGGCGGGAAAGGATTCATTCGATGCGGGGAAGGAGCTTGAGCGGCTGCAGAGAAAGCTGAAGCTGTTGGAGGAAATCAACCAAGAGAACGAGAAGGACATGGAGAAGCTGAAGAAAGACAAGTCGAGGCTTGAGCGAGAGAATGACTCCCTTCAACGTCTGCTCGAGCAGCGAAAGTTCGGAGACGAGAACGATCAGGACCTCAAGAAGGCGCAGAAGGGAAACGACAAGATCAAGCGAGAGCTGGACCTGATGCACACTCAGCTCAAGCTGACCTGCCAAGAGATAATTCACCTGAAGAAACTCCTGGCTGAGAAAGACGACCGGTATGAGAAACTTAAAGCTAGCTTGGATGTCCACACTGCAAACTTTAACAACGGATCGTTGGAAGACAACACCAACATTCGCTCGCTCAGAACAAAGATCATCTCCTTAGAAGCTGAATGCGATACGTTTAAACTGAAGAACTCGAGCCTGGAAAACGAATGCCACTCGTTGAAGGACAAGGTCGAGAAACTTTCATCGCAGCTAAACCGTAGAGACGAGGAGTTCTCCACCAAGTCCGAAGAGCTCACGAAACTAGAGAAAGAGCACATGGAGCTGAGACAAGTTACTGATCAGCTTGCAGACGAGCTTCTTGATCACAACAGGCTGAAACAGGACGTTGACTTCGAAGTCAAACTGCAGGCCTTTGAGAAGGAGCGCAAGAAGCTCGAGCAGTCCAAGAAGAGCCTCGAGGAGGAGACACTGACGATGAAGCGCGTGCTTGTAAGTCTCTCCTTCAGTCTGCTCGGACGAGTTAACATCTCTGCAGGTTGAAAGAGAATCCGCCTCCTTGAACCTCGAGAAGAAACTCGCAGGGGTAGAGAAGGAGCTTGAAGCTGTGAAGAAGAAGTTTGAGCAGGAGCTGTCAGCCCTCCAGGAGGAGAAGCAGCAGCTTGGCAAGGATCTTGCGGCGTCGAGAAGAAAGTGCGACGAGCTAACGAGCATGTTGTTCTCGCTGAGAGAAGAGAAAGACATCCTCACCGTCCAGCACGCCGACACGGCGGCAGAGCTCTCGCAGACTCAGAGGCTTGCACATGAGACGGTGAAGGATCTGAGCTTGCGGACGGCCGAGGCTCTAGAAGGTTTGCAGAAGAAGCTTTCTGCGCGCATCGCGAAGCTGAATCAGTGAGCTTGTACAAGCTGCTCCTCACCTCGCAGTGCTGACTTGGTCTTAGACAACTGGAGAAGCGCAAGGACAAGATTGAGAGTCAGAAGGAGGAGATCAAGCAGCTGCGAGGCGTGTGGCGGTCCCTCCTCGTTAGCCACCCGGACCTCGACATGGTGGGAGAGGCGTCGATCGAAGAGCTCAAGATGTCGCAGCAGGAGAAGCAGCAGCTCGAGAAGGAAAACTTGGAGCAGCGGGACGAGATAGAGTCGCTTGTCGTCATGGTCGCCATGCAGCACCTCCGGCTTCTCATCGCCAGGTGGCGACAACCAATGTTCCGGGAGAGATTCAAGCTTCAGCTGGAGGCGTCAGTGCGCGCTCAGATCATCGAGGACAACAGAGAGGAAGGAGTGGTGGTACTGGATGGTGAGAACCGGCCGCTCACTTCTCGTTATCTTGCGCTATGCTGAGACGAATGGCGCGGTGATGCTGAACGACAGGCAACGACATGGCAGCCAGGAAAATGATCCTCTCGATCCAGGAGGAGCAGACCAAGAAGGTACAGGAGAACCCGAGCATCAAGGACGAGGTCTCGCCCGACTGAGCGTTGGCCTCCTCTCCTCCTCTCACCTTCCTCCTCCGCCTTGCAGATCAACTGCCAGGTGGTCTACGACAAACTTGGAGCTGCGCTCGAGCGGGTTGATCCTGCCCGCGCAGCCTCTCGTTTGCTCGCTGCTCCTGCACGACCAGCAGGCAGGCCCAACGGGACTAGCGGAGGGAGCGAGGGAGCGTACGCCTCGCACGCGCGGGTGCATGGAGAGATTCTGATGCGGAAGGAGGAGAAGGTGGTTGAGGAACGACACGGACATGCTGTTCATGTCCGGCCCGTCAAGTGACAACTAAGTAGCAAGTGAGGCAGCGGGAGAGGAGAGGTAGTGACAGGAGGCAAGTGATGGTCGGAGAGGATATGAAGGGAGGCGAGAGAACTGGAGCAGGTGTGGCTGGGGTCAGTGGAGAAGAGGAAGAGTGGAGAAGAAGGGGAGGCGAGAGAAAAGTAGAAGGGGTGAAGGTGAGGAGCAGAGGGCTGGAAAGATAGTGCTGTGCAAAGGGGATGGAAGGAATGTGTTGGGAGAGATTGAATTCATTCTAGATATGAAGACTGAGAACCTGCGTGCCTAGTTGCAAACGATGAGACGCTGATCGAGGATTGTACTTGCTCTCCTCCTCCCACTCCCATTCCTCCCTCGCTACCCTCTCCTCCTCCTCCTCCTCCTCCTCCGCTCTCCCGTTCGCCAGCGCAGTGGAGAAGGACTTGATTGAGGTCAGGGAAAGGTTTTGGCTCATACTCGTTCTCCGTACGCTTCTCTCGACACTCTCCTCCTCTCCTTTGTTCATGGCCGCCCGCAGTCGTCTGAAGGTTCTCCAGAAGTGAGAGGAGACGCTCTCGTATCCTCCCCCAAGACGAACCTTGAGCGAGCTGAGTTTCTCTGCTGCTCGCGCCATGGCCTCTCGGTCGCTCGAGGTCTCCTGCAGCCGCTGCCTGCATCCCTCCAGCTCGTTCCTCGTCGCCTCGAGCGTCAGCAGCTCCTGCTGGGCCCAGTCGAGCTGCTTCTGACTCATCCTCAATGCCCTTCCCAGCTCCTGCCTCTCCTCCTCGTGCCTCTCCTCCATGCTCTTCATCCTTCTCCTGTGTGCTGCCTCAGCAGCATTGGCGTTGTTCTGGTTCGCCTGCTGCAGGTATGTCCTCTCCTCCTCGCTCGCGCGCAGTCTTCTCTTTAGCCCATCGTGTTCCTGCCTCAGCTCCTCTAGGGCCTCCGACAACTTCGCCGCATCCTCCTTCGCCTCTATCCTCTCCCTCTCCGTCTCCGTCAAGCGAGCATGCAGTTCTTGCGCATGTTCCTCCTCGCTGACCAGCCTCGCCTGTAATCGCTTGAGCTCGATCGCGGCCTCCTGCATGGCGAACTTGAGGGCAGCGACGTCGGAGTCTGTCTTGGTGGACCTGTCCTTACATCTCTTGAGCTTGTCCTTGAGCCCTTGCGCCTCCTCCTTGCTACTCCTCAGCTCCTCCAGGACCTCCGCATGCCTTCTCCGCAGCTCTCGCAGCTCGTCGGTCAGCGCTCGCTTCTCCTCTGTCCTTACCCTCAGCTCCTCTGCTGTTTTCTGCTCCACGTCTCTCGTCGCGTCCTCCTTCCCGGTCTGCGACGCTGCTGCCAGTCGTTTCTGCAGCTTCGCCTCCATCTCCCCCGCAGCTCTGCCGATCCATCCGACGTCCTGCCATGCATGCTTGCGCGAGACGAAGGGTAGAGCATGGCGGGCGATGACTACCTGGCACTCTTGCCGTAGCCTCCTATCCCTCCGCTCCTCCTCCCCTCCCTTCC